GGGTTTCCTTTGAAGGAAGTGCAATATGTGGAGGAGAAAGTGGAAGGTGGAGGGAGTCCGGAAGAGGACTCCTTGGGGTTAAAGCTGCTGATTAAGGCAAACTGGAGGGGTGCAGTTTCCCATGACGACTCCCCACAGCACTCCCAGAGATGGCGCGGATAAATCCAGCGCTTCGTTGGTTGTCCACCACTTCCTGTAGAGAATGCTGTCATGCGGGCAGTTGTGGGACCAGCCAGATGGGCCTGCTGCACATGGATGTCTAACCCTGCCCACCCAAGACTGACCCTTCATACAGACTTAACAGATGTGCAAATATTCATGACACAGTGGCCAGCTGTTCCGATTCTCCAAGGGAGAAATATGAGGCTACCTGCTCCTGTAAAGATCGATAGCTTTGGAAACCCTACAGATGAGTCGGCCACGATGAGTGGTAATTGAGCCGATGGCAGCGAGTGGGTGTGTCATGAGTGGGTCACTTGCTGCACTGTGTAAGTGGGCGCACATGAATTAGGCTTCAGAAAGTTTGTTGAAGAATTAATTGTATGGAACGATAATGGGACTTTGCCATGAGCTCTTTTGAAGTTCCCCTCATATAATGGTGCCTGTGTGTGTCTGTCGGGATGCAGGTGGGACAAGCTGGCCCTCGATGTGTGTCCACGAGGGTGTGTGTTCAAGGTGCTTGAGGCTGGAGCACCCAAGGGAAAGGTAGTGGAGGTGAATCCGTCCACAGTTAAAGTGTGTTATTGTGAGCGCAGCTCTCACCGTGTGTGCTGGGGCACCAGGAGGGGGGTCATTTCCTGCACCATCTGTGTGAGGGTGCGTGCCCATCTACGGGTGTGAAAGTCTGTGGATGAGCTAAAGGTACCAGTGTGTTGGGATAGTGAGTGTGGAGGGTGTCGATTCCTGGGTGGCTGATTCATAATCTGTAGGTGGGGGTGTGTGCGCGCGCAGGCAAGCCAGGACAGGGTCATTACTGGACTGTGTGAGTGTGCATATGTGTCCATGAGGGTGCGTGTGTGTGGGGGCGGGATGGGTGGTCAGTCCCTGCACCCTGTATGTGTGTGACGGAATCTGCGCGCGTCTTCGTGTGCGCGCGTCGCGCGTGGGCAGCGGTGCGGAGGGTGGGCGGTGGCTGCGCGGGGAGGGGCTGGCGGC